TTATCAAAAGCGCAAAAATTGTATCACCTCCGATACAAAACTAAAGGTCAAGCAGGCGCAATAGTAAAACAGTTCGTACTAAATGACGACAATTTCAATTTGGCTTGGGAAGCTCTAAAATCCAGATATGAAAATGAAAGAATATTGGTCGATAAGCAAGTAACGATACTAATGAACTTGCCTAAAATTAAAAAAGAAACAAGTGAAGAATTTGTTAAACTACTATTCCCACAGACAGCTGGGACCCAATACTAGTAAATATATGCACCGCGGCATTACCAGAAAAATCGTTACTTTTGTGGGGGCAATCGCTCTCATCACGAAAGAAATGCCCAACGTGGCAACAAATGAAAGATTTTCTAGCTATCCAGTATGAAATCGCTGAAAGGGTAGACCCAAAAATTATTAAAACCCAAAACTATCAAAACGACCTTAATAGAAGCTTCAATAGACCCCAAGCTAGTACCAAAAACAATTTCAACAGAAGCTTGTACAAAACGCAATCGTTCACATACGAACAGAACAATCATACGTCATGCGAACTATGCACGAGAGGACATGAACTACAATCTTACGAGAAATTCAAAAAATTAAAAATTATAGAAAGAAACTATTTCGTGAGATCAAAAAAATTATGTACAAATTGTTTGTCACATGCGCATTCATATAAAAATTGCAAAAGCAAATTCAATTGCTTATATCGTCACAAAAGACACCACTCAAAGCTTCACTACAGCAAATTTCCTATATCACCCCAAAGAAGCGCTTATACAAAAAGAACCACAGGTTTGGTTGTAACAACAACTCCTAAAAACCAAAATCCCGAAAATTGCCAAAAGACACCATGTTGCTCAAAAGCACAAAAAACTTAAACGCTACACAGCGAAATACAAAATAGGGTATTACTACCCACAGCAGTCATCTCCATCGAATACCGAGGAGAACTGTTTAAACTTAGGGCCTTAATAGACCAAGGATCAAAACGATCATTTATAGCGTCTAGGGCACAAAATAGGCTACAACTGCCAACAAAACAAGCCAACTTTGAAATTACAGGAATGGACGGAAGAGTAGTTCAAAACCGCAGCTCACAAATATGCTTCCAAGCTATCATATAAATAGCAAACATTGGGAAAAGGCTTCACACCTTAAACTAGCAGATCCCAACTGCAACACCCCCGCTCAAATAGACATTCTATTAGGCAGCGATCTCATACCTCAGATAATACTCGATGGTGTTGAGAAAGTTTCAAACACATTATTGGCACAAAATACTATTTTCGGTTGGATCCTAAGTGGATTAGTTATGGAACCAGTTACCACTATGACAACTCAAGTTGAGGAAATCTCAGACGAATACCTCAATTCACAATTGAAAAAATTTTGGGAGTTAGAAGAACTCAAAGCCACAACTACTCGATCAAATAATGACCGGTACTTCATACGACTACCACTAAATTCCCAATGTTCCAACACTCCACGAATTGGCAGAAAAAACCAAGTCAGAGTCCCTTCTGACAAGATCAGGTTTAAAAACACAAATATGTAACTTTTCGACCCCGCAGGATGGCTCTTGCCATAAATGATACAAAAATCCTGCTTCAAATTTTGAGTTATGTGGCGCGCTACTAAATAAAGTTAAGGGATCACCATATTTACAATGTGATACAGTGACACACCCAGACTTACAAAAAGCAAAGGTTGCACTTATCGCAACTATCTAAGCCCTCATCAAACGGGTAGTTTATGGGAAACACTTGTAAAAGTTGTAAATCTAACTTCAAAAAGTGGGTGAAAATCATAAATCTTACTCATGCAAGATCCCTCTTCAAATGTTTTCAAAGGAGTATTCATTCTGGCCATATCCGAGCCAGGCGTGAAGTCGCTATCCTTATAAGCCGATAATAAAGAGATTGCAAATAATTGCTGATAATACAGAAAAGCCAAATCGTAAACAATCCTCATAAAAAAATTGATAAAAGAAAAAATCGTAAATACAATCACTACTTATTGTATTGCCAACTATAAAACCAAAAAATTGTCAGAATATAGTTGCGTATCTCAAGTATATATCAAAATACAATAATATTCGCGCCCTCGGCTACTCCATCAACAGCACGCCGAAATGCATAATACAGCCCATATGTGTAATCCTAGGCAAAATATTCGCCTAGGGGGCCCAGGATGGTTAAATGAGCTAAGCCTCCCCCTCGCATATATGTATACACCAACCAAACAGATAAATTATTGGCACACCCTAATAATATTCACCACTCCTGAGAACCCCATACAGAATGTCACCACACACGAGGACGCCTCACACCACCAACCAACAAAAATTCGCTATATATCATTCGTTTCGTCTACAGGCCTGAGCGCCAAGTCAACATTTGATACGAAAGCTCCTGTGTGCAACTTTTCGATCGACCGCCGTCATCGTAAACCTGCGAAGTGAACATCGTTTTTTCGACTCTTTCTCTGCGGAATCTTTAATTTAATTTGTTAAAGTTCAATTTACTTGTGTTAAAAGATCTTAATAAATTTGAAATTTGTAAACTTTTTTCATCACATTTTCTTTGCTTTATTCGGAAATAAGTGTTAAAGGCTTTGTGCAAATTAGTGTCAATTTAATCAGAAATATATCAAAATATGTTTAAATTATTGCTAATAACTCACAATAAAGTAAAAATGAATTAACATAAAATAATTTAAAAAATTAATAAATAATAGTTCAATAAAAGCGAATATATTTCAAATGGCATATCAATATTCCCAGTTTCGCATACATATTATATTCTCTTCAATATTCGCCGGTTGGTTATGATAAGAGAGCGTATGTGTACAGATTAACCGCTGTTATAAAAGCGGGAAATGGTATTTGTTTCTCCTGCGTGTGAGGTGATCTCCTTGATAAAATTTTACAACTGCACCTTCTCGTTCATTTACGTTCTCTGATTTCACCACAAACAAATTATAAGGGGATTTCACCAGAGTTTTACCCCTGCGGACCAAAATGAGCAAAATTGAGCATTTTGATTATTTAATTAGAAGAATTATGCTAAATTCAATGTTAAGAAATGTACGTTCACAGGTTCGTTTATTTACAATGCGCAAGCGACTTTGCATATAATTTAAAGATATTCTGCATATATTTGGTATCAAAGCATAAAAGTATGTATACATTTACAAATCTACCTTTTCATGATGAATTTCATAAAATCTAATGAAATATATGTATAATAAAGTAAGGTTTGTACTATAAGCTAAATAATTAATACATGTTTTATAAAAAATATATTTACTATATATTATATTTATTTGCTTTAGTAATTTAAAGTTTTGATAACATCTGAAACATATGTATATAATTATGTGTGCATGTAAGCAAATATGAAATAACGCATAATGTTTGTGAATTTGTCTACTTGTAACATATGTATGTAAATATGTACACTCATTGTTTTATCTCCGTTGTCACGGACTACCAGTGGCAGATACAGAATTTCTTCCTGGAGGGAATAATTTTCTTCCAACATATATTTAATATTGATATTACTTCGTATATTCTTCTGAATTTTAATAAAAATTATTTGCCACGTTCTGGTTTTGTGATAGTAGCGGACTCTGTGAATCGATCTATTTACTATATAAATTTGTCGTCAATATTTTATTATTACCGAACTATAATTTATTCCCCCCATGGATCCGACACTGCGGACAACCATGGCGAAGCTTATGTTTTTGTTTTTTATATCAAAGAGTCAATGTGTCGAGAAATTGACGACTGTTTGAGCGACGAAGAAGCGTCACAACATTGTGTTGTTGGTAGAAAATCCGAGCTGTGCCGAAAAAAAATAACGATTGTCACCGCTTCACTTGCCGCCCTAACAGCTTTGCATACAAATCATCGTAAATATGTATCTCATACATAAGCATGCTTACAAATCGACGCAGAATTGTAATATATTTTAAATCGACAATAGCTTTGTTGCCAGTTTTGTAAATTTTTTCTGTGTTTTGTGGGTTTGCGGGGTTGCAACTATTGCTTTCTAGAGGGAACATCAGAAATTTAGCTTTTGTCATCGTCGCGAAAAGACGCTTGTAGGCAAACGCATGCTCGAGGAGATGTGAGGGTGTCTGTTTTTATGAATGAAGCGAGGACGTTTGTTGATAATACGCGTGCGGTCATGAATGGAAATGTTGTTGTTGTGAAATTTACTATAAATTTAGGCTTCGGCTATTTGGCTGACATATTGACTTGTGACTATTGTTGTTTTTGTATAACAATGTTTGTAGTTTTTTAGTAGGGTGACATATTTACATGTGTACATTGGTTTGGTTGTGTAGGTTGGTTTGTGTATGCATTATTTGTTCGGCAATGTCATATTTATATATATGGGTGTACATATAAATCAATGCGCGCACATATAGAGTATTTATAAGTAATAAAATGATTTGAATTTCTGAATCCGTACATTCAAATGCAAGTATTATTATAATACAAAATATTTATTAGAAAAGTATATTATGTAAAAATTAAATAAAATGCTTAAATTCCCAAATTGACTATATATAATATTATGCAAATTACATAATTTAATTAGAATCTTATCAGTTTTGCATGCATTCATAAAAAATCGGATAATGAAACTCATATCAATAAATATGATTGCATATAAACGTATAAAAATATGACCCAGAACGCTAACATCCGGCTGTAATATCAATGCAAACCTCTGTGCATGACTTTCATACAATTCTCAGCTCCATCAGACGCCACTGTTTTTTCATTCATTTCTCCTTCCGAACTAGGTGTGGTGAAGTCCACTCATCGAATCTTGTTAAATTTTGACAATTCCAAGCTGGTCCGCAATTGAACTTCTGTAATATACGTTTCCTGCTGCGAGCCTGCTGCCTTGAAATCGTTTTGTTCTCTAAATAGCTGTGTCCATCAGAACGTGTATTTTAATAATTGACAGATGCTGCATATCGCTTGTCGTCGTCTGTGTGTTCAGCGCTTAAATCAATTTTGACAAGTAGTCTGTTTGAAAGAAAGTTCTTGACGTGTAACTGCATCGTAAAATTATCGAGACAACATATATTGCTAGTGAAGATACCTCCTTACACAGTGCCAGAATTATCGACATAAAGCTTAATAAAAATAAACTACATATATGTGCATAGATATTTCCAATTCTATATTGCATATTTTAGAAAATCGTAGCGACGTTAACGTATAATAAAATGAACGACAGAACTATTAAATTGTTGATAATTGGCGAAAGTGGAGTTGGAAAGTCTAGGTAACCAATATTCAATAAACAATTAGGACAAGTGTCATCTTTTATATTGTATTTACGAGTATTTGTGTGCTAAAAACCAAATGAGAAATTATAATTGCAGCCTCATTCGTCGGTTTACTGAAGATAAATTTGATGACAATCACGATGTAACTATTGGAATGGATTTCAAGAGTAAAGTTGTAAATATTGATGGCCTCGAATATAAATTAGCGCTTTGGGATACTGCAGGTGCTGAAAGATTTCGAAGTCTTACTCCCAGCTTTTATAGAAAGGTATACAAAAATCGTGGGTAAATTTTAGAATAGCATCCCTCAAATTCGGGGTTAAAATGGGTATGTGCGGATAGACGAGGTTCTCCAATAAAGAATATACATATATACATTTAGTTGCCGCGTAGTTAAAGTGCGTATTTTTTCGATTCATAATGAATTTTACACTTATATATGTATGTAACTTTTATATCGATGTATGTTTTATATTAAATGGTGCAAAAATAACTTTAATTAAATATTTAACTTTTGTTCAATTCTTTTTATTCACACAATAGCAAAAGGGGTCTTTCTAACAAATAATCACTGTTGCCTACATGTTTTACAAAGGAATAAATAATACCCAAATGGCAGGAAATAAGTAACATTATTAGTTTTTCGCCTAGAATTTCTAGGTTGGCTTTAGTATACCATCCCAAGATTTCAGTGTTAAAAAGGGTATTGTTGGATAGAGGAGATTCCCCAAATTAAGAATATATACAATTATAGTCACCGGGAACCTATAGTTTTCGAGATATTTGCATTTTCAGTTGAAAATTTGACAAATTTTATCTTGCAATTTCTCGATTTATAGTAGATTTTTCTTTTGAATTATGCACTTATTATTCACTAACACTTCACTACATTTTTTTTTACATATTTAATATATATCAATTATTTTAATATAATATTTAAATAAGCATTTTATTTATTTTTACACAATTTTCGTTGTATGCATAATAACTAAAGGGTTCCAGGTTGACAAGTAATAAGTGTTGTCATATCCATGTTGACCATATGGATTGGCCAAGGTTAGTTTTTTTATTCGCGGCCGAAGGCCGCCAATGCAGAAAGAAGTAGGACGCCAAATTAAAGAGGCCCATCCCAGTGTTGGATCGGCCAGTGTTATTTTTTTGCGCGAACGAAGGGTTATAAATTAAATATGTAGAAACAATGTAGTCAAGCGTTAGTGAATAATATAAAAAAAAAATTAAATGTAAATCGAGAAATTGAAAGATCAAATTTTTGAACTTAAAATGGAAATATATCGAAAACTATAAGTATTCTTAATCTGAAAAATCTACTATATCCAACCATACCCGTTTTAACAACGAAATCTAGGGATGCTATACTAAAGTTTCCCCGAATTTCCTTTGGCCGCTCTTCAAAAGAAATAACCCTGGTCTATCCAACACCAGGGTGTTCATAATTCATTCGCGTCGAACTTCTTTTTGCACTGGCGGCCTTCGGTCGCGCTTTAAAAAAATAACGGTTGTTCCAAAATCGGGGTGTTTATAATTCATTCGCGTCGGGAGATGCTATTCTAAATTCCAGCCAAAATCCTTGATAGTTTAGTATATCAAAATATAAACTCGATAAATGTTTATTTTGTACATATAGGCGTTGGGAGCTGTATTAGTTTATGACATCACTAACCGCGAATCATTAACCAAATTAGAAGCGTGGCTTGCAGAGCTTGAAAATTATAGTGACAATCCAAATATTGCTACTATAGTAGTAGGAAATAAAGTCGATAAGGAACGAGTTATTAGCCGTGAAGAAGGTTTGAAATTCGCTCGAAAACATAGAGCTCTATTTCTGGAGGCCTCAGCAAAGGGAGATAAATTTGTTGCAGACGTTTTCAAAGAAATAGTTGAAATGGTAAATACCGAAATAAGATACGTTAATTTTAATGTTTGATTGTGATTTCGAAACCCCAGAGTTCGGGGTTAGGTTGAGTATGTGTTCTGATGAATGATTTCCTAGGTATTAATATATAGCTTTTTGCCACGTGAGGCTAAGTTTTTATTTAGTTAGAGAATAATATTTTTTAATGTATTCATTGTTAATTTTGTAATTCAACACATAAACTTTTATTAACTTTAGAATATTTACAGAATAGTAAATGGGTTGTATGCTGACAAATAAGAAGTGATACCAAATTTACATTCGTTGTAAACAAACGGAAACTTACACCGCTTTTAAATATCCATAATAGTGCGAGTATAGGACAAAAGACCAAAATGTAGATTATAAGTGGATATCAGCTACCTACCGCAAGCACTTACGTCCTCTATCACCACTTTGTGTATATTATCGTTAGGTAGAAATGTTGTGGTAGCGACAGAATTCTGCCGAGTTGACAGTCCTTGGCCGGATAAAAATCCGGGTCCGTTCCGGTAACGTAGACCCAACTGTCGTAGAGACCGTCAGGAGCTGATTTTGAGCAGTGCTTACATTATTTAGCGAATTCTTGAGTGTGAATACATTGTATGTCTTTAAGGAAAATGTGCATACTGTATACTTTAAATTTATTAAATTTGATTATCGAAAAAATCAGGGTTGTCGTGGAAACCTAGTAATGAATCAGTACCAATATTCGACTCAGCTGTGTCACTAATTATTTATGAGACCAAAATTTGTTTTAACTATTAATTAAAAAGTAAAGATCTATATTTGGTTCAGCTAGTTTGGTAGGCTGAGCCACGCTTAAGACATTTTGATGGCGTGTGCCGCCACCAGACTATGACCAGTAAGTATTCGAATCATGTTACTACATGTTCCCTTCTATGGAGAGTCAGTTGGAACTAGTATATTTCTGACCTACCGCTTTGCACATGACATTTGCATTTTGCGCTCATGTAGATCGTTCCATTGCATTTTGATCTTCTTTGTCATGCCCCAGTCCCTTGTCATCGCATAGACAATGCACGGGTTTATCAATGTCGATCACGTTTTCGGGTGACAGCCGTACACCCTTAGAAATCTCTTCCACTATCTCATTACCTTTGATCCTTTGGTGACCTGGCACCCAGTAGCTAGCTCAGCGGCTTTCCCAATAGCAAAGACCTGCTTGAAATATACTGCAGTCTTCCTGCAGCTTAAAAGGCTGCCTTGTGCCTAACTCTTGACACTTGAACTTGATGGAGGAAGAAATTAGCAAAAAAGTAAAACAAAGAAGGTTTTATGATATCCATAACGGTAAATTTAGCTTTTATGTACATATTTACATGATGGAACGTGATTTAACATCAGAACTGAATCTCCTGGTTTGTTTAACCGTTAACACCGTTTAATTATTTCGAAGTCATATTTACGACGTTCAGGGAACAAAAATTATTCCACTATGTTATCTAACGAAAATAATAAAGACAAATCTAAGGTATAAAAAGATCCTATAAAAACGTCGAAAATTATATATTTGTTTCTATTAATATTCTTATAATCTATGATCAATTGCATCTAATTGAGATATTTTATCCTAAACATTTTAAATGTTTTAGATTGTGACATCGGATTACTATAGTTTTTCTCAAAATGGTGGAATGATTGATCTAAATGCAGAGGAAGAGACGGGTGCATCAAACTGCAGATGTTGATAAATGTTTACAATAAATACTGTATGTAATTTTGTTTTAACAATATATATGTAAGTCAAGTTATCATCTATTTATAAAAAATTTATATTTCGTTAGCTTATTAATTAAAAATAAAAAGTATATAACAAAAATATACAAAAGCTTTTGTCTTAACACTGGAATTTTGACAACCTTTTTATTCATACTGTAATGTTCTGTTTTTCTTATTGTATTTTAACTGCATAAAATATTTCCTAAATACCTACATTGTTTTCAAAATTTGATGAACTTGTATAGCCTCGATTACCTTGTGAATGTAGCACCTTTGAATTTCTTATCGAACACACTCTTCTCCCACCTTTGCTTCTTTAAACGAATTAGTGAAAAGTATGTTAAAATAAAACTACAAATATGAGGTGATCCGTATCATGTTATGATTGAGAATTGCTTATTGATAGTTTGTTTTACAACGGTAGTTGTAATGTAATTTTAAAAAACATTTTAATGAACTTAGAGAGGAGTACCAGTTTATCCTCCTGTGGATATTTTGCTAAATAATGCCAAGACGAGTCCCTTATCAGGTATAACTCCGGATCCGTTACAGTTACGCTATCTGACTCATTGGAATACTTCGATCGTTAAATTACGGAGCTGTTAAGTACTTAAATAGTAATTATAGGTATACTAGAAGCCCGACAGACGTTGTCCAGTATGATGATTAAATGTAAACTTTTTGAAATTAGCTGTAACAATTAGACCGTTTTGATGAAAATTTATATTACAAACTTATTACAATATCTAACTTCATTCATACATTGGTTGGCAACTAAGTAATTGCGGATTTCAGTCAGATGGCTTCAGTTGAATTTTTAGGGTTGCTGGCGTAGTTTTTTTGATCGGATACGTAGTTTTCGTTTGGCGTTCGTAGAAAAATGGAAGATCAAAAGGAACATTTTCGTCATATTTTATTTTCGCAAAGGGAAAAACGCATCGCAAGCTCACAAAAAGTTATGTGCTGTTTATGGCGACGAAGCCATAAAAGAACGGCAGTGTCAAAATTAGTTTGCCAAATTTCGTTCTGGTGATTCTTCACTCAAAGATGAAAAACGCTCTGGTCGTCCAGTTGAAGTTGATGACGACATAAAGCAATAATCGATTCGGATCGTCACAGTAAAACACGTCAGATTGCAGGGAAACTTCAGGTGTCACATACATGCATTGAAAATCACTTAAAACAACTTGGCTATGTTCAAAAACTCGATACATGGGTTTCTCACGAACTGAAAGAAACGCATTTAACGCAACGCATTAACAGCTGCGATTTGCTAAAGAAACGTAATGAAAGTTATCCATTTTTAAAACAAATGATAACTGGCGATGAAAAATGGGTTGTTTACAACAATATCGAGCGGAAAAGATCGTGGAGCAGGCCAGGTGAACCAGGTCAAACAACATCAAAGGCTGGTATTCATCAAAAGAAGGTTTTGTTATCAGGTTGGTGGAATTATAAAGGAATTGTCTACTTTGAACTCTCACCACCAAACCGAACGATCAATTCTGTTGTCTAGATTGAACAACTAACGAAATTAAACAATGCAGTTAAAGAAAAGCGGCCCAAATTGATAAATCGAAAGGAGTTCAGTGACATACACACAAGAAATATATATATAAAGATTGTGAAGGTAAGAAAATTTGTTAAATAGCAATATTACCGCCATATTTCAATTACACATAAAATTAACAAAAAATTATGTTCAAGTACTGCATTACCTTCAATATTCTCTTTTGGAGGTCGAGTTTACTTTGCAGCACTCCTATTACACAATATGATTCTTACTTTACACGGTAGTGTGTGTTTTTAGCGGTGAGCGGTGGCGTTCGACTCTAAGCGGCGTTAGGCTTCGAGTCTCCTCTGAACTGTTGCATCGATTTCGTTGTCACGCTGATGTTTGGGTGGTTTGCTTTGTCGTGAAATGGTTGGATTATTTTAATTCTGTGTAGTTTTTTGTATACTACTATTCAAATATAACAACAAAAAATTTAGTACACAGTGTAATAATATTCGACTATGGAAAGTTACATTGTAAAAAAATACGGAATATAAGAACGAAAGTATTTGCAAACTCGATTTTAATGGAGTTGTAGGTCCCATTCAAGCCGACAACACGAAAGTCTAATCGCATTTATATTCGACTAAAGTACGACCTCATCATTCTTTTAGAAAAAACAACGAGAAACTGTTTATTTTGAACAACAACAACAAAAGCTTTAAAAAAATATAAGGAGCCAAACATGTTGCTACGAAGTATAATAGTTTTGTTCACCTAACGGTTGTTTGTATCACCTAAAACTAATCGAGTTAGATATAGGGTTATATATAAACTGCGCTTCGTCAGGTTAACAAAGTTCAGGATTAAATAGTTTCGGTTAATTTCTATCAAAACTAAAGAAACTATAATTCTAAAATTATTAGCGATTATTAACGAATACATTTTCTACCAAATAGTACAACAATTAGTTTTTTTTATCTGTTTTTGTAAACAATTTTTTTAAGAAATCAACCGAAAAATAACAATTTAAATTAGGTTAGCACATGTCCCTTTTTTCAGTATTTTTTAACATTTTCAGACAAGAAAATATTTTTAAACGTACATATGTATGAACTAATTAATTTAAACATTTGTGTATTATTTTAATCCCTCTTTGTTGAGAATGATCTTAAAGATTCGATTGGGTAGCGATTTTTACTATTTGACAATATAATTTAAGAAAATTAATGACCAAGCACTTTTAATACCTTTACCTAATTTCTATTTAGTGGAATATTGTCGGCCAGGCTCGACGAACTTTCCGAACCAACTATCCCCACACCTTTTCTATTATATGGATGTCTGAGGAGTAAGGCGACCACTGCATTTAATCGTAATTTTTTCTTTCAATTCCAGACTTTGACCTAACAAATTTTTAAAATGGGGAAAAACAATTTCTAGTAAGTTTTTTACGCGTTTGCGTATTAGAAGACTCCCCCACACACCGTTAAACCGCTCATACGACTATGTAGTCCTTCCAACTAATGTTCCTCTTTCCTAAGATCATCAGACTCTTCCAAATTAAATTTCTTTTCATCTAAAAAGACAACATAGCGCTAATCAGATTTTCAGGCCTTGTGCTCCGGTAGAAAATGCAATCGTGTTTCTCTTCGAGCATAGTTAGGTTGTGGTATTTTCTTTAGTTTAAATATTTTCAAATATAAACCATTTCTCATCACCCTTTTAACAGTAGACAAGCTCATTTTAACACCAGCATTTGCCGAATCTTGGCGGTCGATGTATGAGAGTTGGATGCTTTTCTCTAAATTGCTATCTTTCAACATCGAAAATCACTTGATTGTAACTTTATTATTTCGACCGTACTCCGACGCAAGAAATTGTGTATAACTTTTTGATTTCTGCCGAATTTTTTGATATTTAAATTAATAAAAGCTCTAACCTTTGATTATTGCTTTTCAGCCGAAAGCGATTCTCCTTTACCCATATTAAAGACAATATAGCACTTGAGCTATACAAAAAAGTTAGTGTCAATACGTGTTCAAACGTGTTCTAAAGATAAATGCAAAACAAATTGCGTCATCAGGTTAGCACATCCTGTGATGTCAGTCTTTTTAGTTAAGCTTAATTGGTTTTTGTTTTACTTCTCACATACATTCTTATTTAAATTCAAGAATAATTTTGTTCATCTATGTATATCAACAAAAGTTGAGACCAAAAATACAGCTGGATAATAATATTTTTAATGTATTTTATTTTAAAATAACATAATGAGATCATCCATGCTTTAAAACAAACCTAAATTAATAACAAGTAAGGACGGGCGAACAAATCTCATACGTCTTCAATTCTGAAGACGACTTAGTAATACAGATTTTCTTCTTAATCTAGGAATAATTAATAAATAATAAATGGCTTAATATATAAAATACTTATATATAATAATTATATAATTCCGTTCGTCCGGGTGTGAACAGTTGGATCCTAGGTGCTGCTCTCTTTCACTATAATTGAGTCCTTGCTATGACTCCTTACCTGTTCGGTGTATAGGTACTATGGTATACTGGTGCACATATATTATATATAAATGTGTTTGATCGCCACTGTATATAATAATAGTTTATACACTAGATTAGATTAGAATATGAGGTTTTGCACTGCGACCTAGGGCCTATTGTGCCCTCTCCTCCATCACATGCATTCCCAGAGTCCCAGTACCCTGAAAAACTCCAAATACTTGCTGGGTGCTATTGAGGCAATGTGATCCCTGTTCACATAAATGAAACTGAGGGCCTTGAGCCTGCATCACTATTTGCGGTGCAATCTAGAATCAGGTGTTGTGATGTTCCCGGCCCCATGTCGCAGAACCGGCAGTTGCCACAAGAAGCTGTGCCCATGTTTGACAGATGTTTCTTGAGCCTGCAGTGCCCAGTGTAGAGCGCGACAAGGAGCCGGAGTCTGTCTCTGGGGAGGTTTATCATTGCTCTGAACCTGGCTGGATTGAACCCTCCCAGTAGCAGATCAGGTGTACACGGTTGCAAGCTACTAGGCGGTTCAGCCTTCCTATGCACTCCTCCACTAGTAGCGATTGAATCTCATAGGCCCATATCGCTTTTAGCGCCGCTTGGCTATCGCTGAGTATTGTGATACTCTATAACGGTAGTTGCGTTGGAGATTAATTACTGCACACTGACTTATGGCAAATACTTCTGCCTGAAAAATGCTTGGAAAACAGCCCATGGGAATGGAAAGCTTGGTATGCGGTCCCGCAATGCCAGCTCCAATTCCTTCCGGTGTTTTCGAGCCGTTAGTGTACCACTGAATAGTGCTGCCTCTCAGCAGTTGGTCGAGTGTGGAATCGCTCCAGTCCGCCTTACTGCCAGGAGTAACTTTAAACTTTTTCGTAATGTTTACTCTTTTCGTTACGCCGTCTCTTGGAAGAAGGGCCAGTGGCGTATTATCCTCTAAGGCCCTCATTTGTTGAGACGAGATTAACTTCTCTTTTCCATACCCTTCTGCTGTCATAAGCAGCATGCATTGCGAGTTCTGGATCTCAGCCGTTAGTTGGTACAGAGCAGTGTTAGTAGACCTACCTGCTCTGTACG